GGGATTTCACTGAGGAAGACAAGCCATAGTTGTCACAGCCCCCTTGTGAAAGAAATGTGATTTTGCTAATAAAAGAAGTTCAACACTGACCACAAGAAGGGCAGGAAGAGGTGCTGGACTGAGACTCTGAAATGCAGAGGTCTAGTCCTACCTCTGTGGTTAACTAGCTTGGGACAAGTCACCTGCCATCTCTGGGCCCCAGCTCCCCATGAGAAGTGGGGGCATTGGGCTCAGTATGTGCCAAGGACCCTCCCTGTTCCAACAGGCTATGAACCTATGAATAAGAACCTTAAAGAGTCCATTGTGGTTGGACGAGTATGAAAACAGTTGCGGGGTAGTAATAGGAAGTTTTCTCACTGGTCCCTTCTGACTCTGGGACACTGTTAGATCCCAGTAGGCACAATGTTAAGGTGGCTTCATCTGACTTGTCAACATTATTAATTATCAGGTAAAAGATATCATTATCTTTCTCATCTGTCTCCAAGCTGGAATTGGGCATATCTTGCCTATAACTCTTGGTTGAGCCATAAAGGATCCTTCTCAGGGGTTCCTCTTCTTTGTGCTGGTACCAGTGCACAACGGTGTTGTCCAGCAGAATCCAGTTTGCGGCTCATGAGCACTGTTCTGTCTGGACTGCGGGGAAAGGAGAGTTGATCCTGAGATATTGTCATTTTGCTGTCTCCATCTGAAAAACAAGGAAGGCAAATCAGAGGTACTCAAAGTTGTTGACTCTGGACATAAAAATAATGAAAGAATGAGAAAGGAGTAAAGCCAACCTGCAAACCCACACCAAGGACACAAGAAAAACCCACAGGGTTGGCATTGCCATGGCTAATTAGAATAAACACTATAAGGGAGCACAAATTGGATTCAAAAACGTAGCGCCAGACCTTGCTCTGTGGGGTCAGGGGTGAGGAGGGGAAAGGTTTGTTTTAGAGCCAATGAAGTCCTTAACACTGACATGTGTTGCAGTGTTATTTATCTCGTTCCTGGTGAAAAGGATCTATCAGATTCCAAAGGGCCTCATCAAAACCTCTGTGTTATGATAATTCAATGTTAACTTCCTCTTTGGAGAAGTTCCCTCCCATTTTCCTTTAAGCGTTGCTTCAAATACACCTATCCTTCATACTTTTTCACTCCCTGGGTTATATATTTTTTGCCATATTGTGTAAGAACTGTGGGTAGCTATGCCTGGCTATCATGAGTATTAGAAGAAAAGAACCATTACTGTATAGAGTACCAAATGAGCTAATAATTCCATCGCCTTTTGCAACAGTATATATGTTTTATAGATCAGTTAGTTTGCCCCAAGTTTATAGTCAGATAAATATTAACCATTAGCGCAGTTATTGCTTCAGATACTGTGACATTATACCCTGGTGTCAATGAAACAGAATTTTGGAGGATAAATATCTTTTGGTTTGTTATCCCCCATGCTGTCCCCATTCCTAATTCTTAGTTCTTCACAATTAAAACTACACTTTACAGTTTTTTGGAGGACAGTGTAAGACACGATTTTTACAAAAGACTTTTTAAGCATCACTGTTTCCGCTGTGATGGCTCAATGAAGTGATTTCTTCAGGACATTGGTCTGGGAAGGACTTCTTGAGTAATACCCCCAAAGCACAGGCAACCAAAGTAGAACTGGACAAATGGGACCACATCAAGCTGAAAATCTTCTGCAGAGCAAAAGAAACAATCAACACAGTATAGAAACAACCCACAGGATGGGAGAAAATGTTTTCAAATATTTCAGACGGTGCACTCCACACCCATTAGGTATGAATATACCCATCCCCTCCTCTTCCTCCCATCTGCCCGACACCCGATGAATGTTATTACTATATGTGTACTTAAGTGTTGATCAGTTAATACCAATTTGATGGTGAGTACATGTGGTGCTTGTTTTTCCATTCTTGTGATATTTCACTTAGTAGAATGGGCTTCAGCTCTATCGAGGATAATATAAGAGATGGTAGGTCACCATTGCTTTTTGTGCCTGAATAGAACTCCATGGTATACATATACCACATTTTATTAATCCACTCATGTATTGATAGGCACTTGGGTTGTTTCCACATCTTTGCAATTGTGAGTTGTGCTGCTATAAACATTCTAGTGCAGATGTCTTTTTTATAGAACATCTTTTGTTCTTTTGAGTAGATGCCCAGTAATGAGATCTGGATCAAATTGTAGTTCTACTTTTAGCTCTTTGAGGTCTCTCCATATTACTTTCCACAGAGGTTGTACTAGTTTGCAGTCCCACCAGCAGTACACATTTCTCAACAGAATACATACAAATGGCCAACAGGTATATGAAAAGATATGAAAAAATACTTGACATCATTAGTCCTCAGAGAAATGAAAATCAAAACTCCAATGAGATATTATCTCACTGCAGCCATTTTCAATGGCTTTTATCAAAAATACAGGCAATAACAAATGCTGGCAAGGATGTGGAGAAGGGGAACCCTCCCACACTGTTGGTGGGAATGTAAAATTAGCACAAACACTATGAAGAACAGTATAGATATTCTCCAAAAAACTGAAAATAGAACTACTATAGAATGACCCAGTAATCCTACTGCTGGATATATATTCAAAGAGGGAAATTCAGTATATCGAAAAGGTATCTGCACTCCCGTGTGTATTGCAGCACTATTCTCAATAACCAAGATATGCAATCAGCCTAAGTGTCCATCAATGGGTAAATGGATACAAATATTGTGGTACATATATACAATGAAATATTGTATAGTCACAAAAAAGAATGAAATTCTGCCATTTGAAACGACATGGATGAAAATGAAGAACATTATATTAAGCAAAATAAGCCAAGTACAGAAAGACAAATCTTCATGTTCTCACACATACATAGAGGAGAATGATGCTTATCAGAGGCTGGGAAGGGTAATGGGGAGGGTGAGTGAGGATAAAGTGGGGATGATTAATGGGTGCAAAAATGTAATTACATAGTTAGATAGAATGAACAATATTTGATAGCAAAAAAAAATGACTATAGGAGGGGGGGAAATGGGCATTTATTGAAACCTTAAAATCTGTACCCCCATAATATGCCAAAATAAAAAAAATTAAAAAAAATAACCTTCCTAATAATTACTCTATATAAGAAATTAAAAGATTCTTTTTAAAAAATAAAAAATTATAATATAAAAAAATGACTATAATCAACAATAAGTTAGAGTATACTTTAAAATAACTAAAAGAGTAGAATTAGAATGATAAATGCCTGAGGTGATGAATGCCCTAATTATCTTGATTTGATTCATTCACATTGTATACCTTTCTCAAAACATCAAATACTCCCTATAAAAATCTACAACTGTTATGTACTCATAACAATTAAACTTTTTTAAAAAAGAAAATTAATTCTATGAACATCTGACATGTAAAGTGGAAGCAAAAAATAATTTTTTTCATCTGATGTGCAGACTGAAATGACTGAAGAGCAAGCCCCAATGCCATAGGGAGGAGATCCTGCTCCTGGCATCGACATGCTCTGGTCTGCCAGGCCGTGTCTCCAAAGAGAAGTAGGAAAGTGAGGGTGCCGGTGCCTAGAAGGGCTGAGCTCTTGTCAGGGAAAGAAGTGCTGGGTCAGGGTGGTTCTGAGATAGCATAGCCTTCCCCTTAGAGTGCAGAGTGGGCAGGTCTGTCCCTCTCAGCCCAGAGTTCCCCAGGAGTACCCAGCAGCTATGGTGACGGGGTGCTGATCAGGGAAGCACTCTTCCTGCAAAAGTTGGGGTGTGGGTAAGCGGTGACACTGACAATTCACTTCATTTTCCCTCCACTCACTCTGTTCCCTCCTTTTTCATTTTTCAGTAGCAACATTGCCCTAGTGGTATGAGGACATGTATCTTGTGCTCAGTGCAAAAATTATTCCTTCTGTGGATTGGCTGTAGATCCAACACTCAAGGTAATGAAAGAAGAATTGTATTTTTCAAGAAATGAAATAACCACTGAAAATGTGTGCTGATTTGATACACATTTGATAAGTTAAAGTAAACATACATATATATGGACCATGGCGTATTGTTTTTCAAATAATTGGGAGGTTGCCATCTATTTCAGCCCCAGAGAGACCAAATATCAACTCAGTATTTTTCTCCAGAAATCAGAGAGGACACTAGACAAACCATCCTATGGAAATGGGGTCGGCGGGCATGTGTCCTGGACTGTGGAGGTCGTCTCTTGAATAGCCTGGCACTGAGACCCCTGCTCCACAGGCTGGGATGTATATAGGGGAGACCTGGAGATCTTGTGAAATGAGATCCTGACTCAGTGGGCCCAGATTGAGGCTTGCTTTTCTGCATTTCTAATAAGCTCCTAAGTGAAGTAGATGCTGCTGGTTCACAAACCAAACTTGGAGTACCAAGGACTTAGAGTATTATTCCAAATAATTTTCTTTTCAAATTTGCAATAGTAACTCATGTAACCAATATAATACCTCAATTTATTGGACACTAGGCTTGCTCCAAGCACTTGCAAGAACTTTATATGAATTATTTAGGTTACTCTTTTCAACCGTTTGTTTGGATAAATATTACCATGTTTTTCACTTTAAAATTAGGAAAATGAATCAGATATATGCTAACTAATTTATCCAAAGTCTCACTGCTAATATGGGGAAGGTGAATGTGTAACAAAGGGTCATTGAGAAAACATTGAGAAATATTTTATATTGTTATGTAAATAATTTCATAATTAAATGTCTACATCTATAAAATATTGAATCTATTATGTATACATATCTTTGAAAGTAATAGAAGATTTTCATTATAATGTATAAAATCCATGAAAGTACCAAGAAGAAATTCAAATCACCTATTCTTTCGGAGATATCCAGTCTTTAAACTTTGGAGAATTTTTCATTTGGTTCTTTTGTCAATATATACATATATGTACTTGTGAACTTACTATATAAACCAATTCTGTGTTCAACATTCTCCTTGATAGTATGTGATGAATATTTCCAATTTTACTTGTAATTCTTCAAGACAACACACAATTGTGTTTAATTGCCACATAGTATTTCATCACTTTAAAGCCACATAGATAAGATGTCCCTTTCCCTCCTGTTCATCACTTTAGTGTATCGCCAAGTTTTCATCCCAATGAATCTCCCAGGGGTCTGTTGAAATGTCAACGTGGCTTCACCCTCTGGTCACTGTAGTTGGACCCAACACTACTCTTTCCAGGATTAAATGAAATAACCCAGGTAAAGTACTTAGTACAGATATTGTGAAAAGCTTAATTCCATCTTTTCTTTCATATTTTTCTGGAAAGTATTCATGTTTTCAGATTCTTTATGTTACTTTAATGGTCTTCTTATGTTTGCTTCTATGCACACATTTGGTGAAAGGTGAGGGCTGTTGAGACTCATTCAGGGTGCTCAGGTCATTGCTACAGTGGCCCACTAGGAATCACAATGGATGGGACATGGGACTCATGATTCTGAGTCTGCTCCTGGGAATGGGCTCACCTGTCAGGGAGCCTTCTGGTGTTCTCTCATTGGGCTTTTAATAGCGCCTCTGCCCATAAGAGCACAACTTGATCCTTAGAAGGGAGAAAGGGAGAATGAATGTGTTACAGTTATACCAGGGCATGTAGGTAAACTGAATGCACAGCAATTATGTGATGAGATATCCATATTGCTAAAGGTGCCAATATGAGGAAAGTTTTCTAAAGTAAGGATTATTCCCCATTTATTTCCTTCTTGTTTGAAAGTGAACTACAAGGAAGTAGGAGAGGAGATTTTACAGTTTTACATTTTACATTTTTTTTCACCATTCTTGGAAAGTTCCCAACCACCCAACTATTAAATACAGAATAAACACAAAATAATTGTCCATAATTATTTTTCTTTCATTTATTAATATTTGTGATGGATATTATGGTTATTTCCTCTATAGATGCAGAGAGCATGTATTATCTTTCTTCTTAACCATTTGATTCTATTGTACTCAGGATTTTTATTTTTCTTTGCAGAACCCCTGGCGAGGTCTTCAAAGCAGCATATCCACCATGCGGAGATCACCTACTGTGCCCAGGGGCTCTGTTCCAACAGAACAGGGCTTGTTTTGTCCCAGCATTGAGCCAGAGTGTGGAGTGAGCTGCATCTGCCTCCCCCAGGACATAGGATTTCTGCTTTGATCTCTCATATGCCCCAGATAGCTAATTGTTAACTTATAGATCTAGTGTTCCTAGATTTCTTCAGGATGGCCTCAGGATGCTAATAAGAGGCATGCAATTATTATGTTTGACAGATCATTTTAACTTTGATGACCTCCAATGCTCATGAACAAAATGAGAAAGTCATAGCAGGAAATACCTCTGTAATATGTATGCCCGTCTCAGGACGTATGCCACTTCCTGCCTTCATTCTGAACCATTAAGTTACTGGAAATCTCTGTACAGTGAATACACAGACAGATGCATTTTGCTCTAAGCTATCCACACTGTATTTTCAGAGTTCCCAGATAGTCTAAGGGAGTAGGAAATAATGTCAAATTGTCCTTATTTTGGGCCATAGTTGATGATCTGACGTGGGCCACACTGAGAGGGTGGAATCCAAGATGTCTTCCTGCATCTGCGGAAGTGCTACAAGGAGGGGAGGCTCAGGCTGGGTGCTGTGGTTGCCCACGCTGAGAAGGATGTGGGTGGGCACAGACCTGGAGATGGTTCTTGTGTAGGTTATCTCGCCAACTCTAACGCTGTGTGTTTCCAGTAGGCACAGTAGTATACGCCTTCATCTTCTTTCTCTAAGAAATTTATCGTCAATGTTGAAGTGGAAGTTTGAGAATCTTTACTTGCTTCAATTTTGCTGGACTTCCTATCTTGAGAAGAGGTTACCGAGAGGACATATTTCAGATGTTCTAAACCTTGGTTTGGTTTCTGCCGGTACCAGTGTATGACTTGACTGTTAAAGTTTGGGAGGGCTACCTTACAAGGTATGTGAGCACTCTTGGCTGTTGCTGCAGAAACAGATATTTTAGGTTGCTCCAAGTTCCCAAGTCCAACTGCAAACAAAGAAGAGAAATTCCTGTGAACAAATGATATGTGAAGAGGCAGTAATAAAGAATGACTTCGGTCCCTCCTGTGGACTGAAATGAGTGGGGAGCAACTCACAAGTCCAGAAAGAGGAGAAGATAACTGCTTTCAGCAGTGGCATCCTGTCTGCCAGCCTGGCTCTCCAGGCAGAAGGTGAGAAAGTGAGGATCCTGTTAGCCGGAGGTCTCAGGTCTGTGGCGGCAGGGTGGGACTGTTCCGGTGTCTCAGAGTAAGTTGGTGGGTCAGGTGGTTCCCCGAGATTCTTCATGAACTGCTACAGTTATGAGAAGTTCTAGGGTTTCCTGCACCCCGTGAGTGCAGGGCAGATTGGTTGACTATCTGGAAGGAAATGTCTGGTATGGATGTGTACATCTGGGGTGGGGTAAGGATGTTTCTCTTACCCACTCACACATTCCCCACGATTCCATACGGTAGAAATATTGCCTTGGAAATATTAAAACATACCTGCTGTGTGTGTTCTGTCCCTGTGACTATCTTTCTGTAATTTCTGTTGATTCAGGGTAGGAATAGGAATCAGGTGTTTCTTTCTCTGTTACTCACCATTTGGCCTGACTCCTGAAAGGCTGGTAGAGAGCTCCCCACTGAAGATCTGAACACAGGGTATCTCCCTGGGAATATGAGGTTCTTTGAGCACCAGATGGGACAACCATGGGAAGAAGGTGGCTCAAGTCTTTCCACAAACCTGTGTATGCACTCTCATTCGAAAAGGGCCTGTGGTCTCAGATTCTTGGTTTTTTTCTCAGGTCTTACTATCTACTTTAGCTTGTATTAAAACTTTAGGTAACCAGTAAGGCCTTATGTAAGCTCAAGAAATCAACTGTGGCCCACACTGAAAGAATATGATGGTCAGGAATTATACAGACAGGATTTGAATCACAAAATGTACAGTGCATCAAAGGCAGGAGGAGAAAGGCTGATAGCTTGTGTAATAATGTCTGATTCCATCCAGGGTCAGCCTTTCCTGGGACCCTCTTTATTTCTTTCAATGGCCTCTTTGGGTCTTTAGAAGAGGGGAATATGAGGATGAATATATTGGAAATTGTCAAATAAATAAGACAACATGTATGGCACAAGTACAATGTGATATCTGTATTATTCCAAGGGGTGCCCAGTGTACCCTACAATAAGAAAAGCAGATGGATTAAAGGGTAGTCTTCATTTCTTTGGCAATTATTTCAGATGTGGTATCATAAAACAATAGAATTTTTATTGCTTCATATTTCAAAAGACAAATTGATAATTTATTGGTATTTCCCTAATATCACTAATAATACTTGCACCAAGGAATGTTCCACAAAGTTTAGTTTTGTCTTCTCCATGAACGATATACAGAACTTCTTTTATCCTCCTATGATGGAAGAGTACAAATTCTGAAGCCAGATTACCTGACTCCAACCGTCCTCTGCCAGGAACCAGCCCTGTGACCTGGACAAGTGACTGAGACAGGTAGCACCTCACCCACTTCATGAGTCAATGCACTTCCTGATAATAACAGAACAGACCTCAGAGATTGTGAGGGTGAAAGGAGCTAACATACGCAAAGAATGGAGAACACTAATAGAGAACTCTCTCGTACACAAAATCATTAGCTGCTCTTCTCTTGGCCCATTCGCTCTTTCATAGGCAAAGCCAAGATTATCCGCAATATGGTGGGTTTATTTAATAGCCCCAATACCCCAGGGCTCTGTTCTCATGACATTGTGCTGAATGACATACACACCCCTGAACTTGAAGTGAGAAACCATTTTCATTCCTCCACCTACCCAAAAAAGTCACTTGCTCTGCCTCAAATTCACCTCAAAGATTCTATTTGTTATGCAACTGTGTGATCTTTAAATTTTCATGGTGGCCTCATGATTCAGTTAACCAAAAAAAGTAAAAAAAAACATGATCTTCTTATCTTTGACCAAGCCCTTTAACTTTCTCAGCTTTAATTTCTTTATCTGTAAATAATAGTTCGGTGGCAGGGGTGTGTCATATTATGTATGGGATTTCTGGTACACAATTGTTCCCTCCGTCAGCCTGAGCCATTCGGTTAGTGGACATGTCTGGGTTGTGATGTGAACGGGCCGTGAGCCTATGTCTGCTAGTTTTCAGGCAAAACCTTAATTCATCAGGAAGTAGTTCTAAATGAAGATTTGGGAAAATTATGATCAGGAATGCTCCCTGCTTAAAGTAGGGCCTACTGCATGGGGATCGACCCAAGACGGCTTCTTGGAAAGCTCAGGAAGTGCTTCGGAGAAAAGGCTGAGGCCGGGAGCCCAGCTAGAAGTTCGTTGAGTTTGCTCCTGCGGGAAGGATGTGGGTGGGCAGAGATCCAAGAGAGACTGTTGTGTGGGACATTTTGGCACCTCTTGTGCTACGGGTCCCAAGAAGCACGGTAGTAAATGGCCACATCCACTTACTACTTTTTCCATCAAGTTTATGGAAAGGAATAAAACCAACATTTGAAAACTTGTTCTTGCCACAAGTTTGTTGCTTTTCTCACCTAAGCAGACTCGAGCTGGGGTTTTTATTGACCAGACATATGTCAGATGCTCCATAACTTGATTTGATTTCTGCCCATACCAGTGTATAATTATATTTACAAAGTCTTCAGTGGACGCCATACATAGTGCGTGGGCTTTCTTACCTGTTGTTCCTGAAATTAACATTTCGGTTGCTTCAAATTTAACTTTCCAAGCCCATCTGCAAGCAAAAAAGGGAAATTCCCACAACATATCATATAGAAAGACAAAATTAGAAAAAAAAAGTCTTTTCCACCTCTGATCTATGTTGAAATAATTGAGGAGCAATTTACAAGCCCAGAGAGAGAAAAATATGAATACTCCTAGCTGTGACATCCTCCTGCCTGCCGAACCTTGTCTGCAGGAGAAGGCGGGAAAGTGAGGTTCCTGGTTGCTGGAGGGGCCAGGTGAGTGGCCGGAGGACATGGCGTGACCTGGTGTGAGAGGAAGAAGTTGGGGTGGGGGCGGTCAGGTGGTTCTCTGGGGACTTCATGGCTTGCTGCAGAGCTGAGCAGTTCCCACAAGTGCTGAACTGGCTGGGGCATAGGGTTCATGATCAGGACAAGAATGTGTCTGTGGGACAGATGAGAGGCAGTTCCGAAGTTGACTTAATTCTGTTTCAAAGTTACCTGTTCCCTCCTTAACTTTTAGATCGTAAATACATTGCTCCAGAGATATGAGTTTATCCACCATAAAAATTGATCCCTCTGTTAACTTGTTTGCAATTCAGGACTGGGGAGTATGGAATACGGACAACATTTTACACTTAAAAAAAAGGCAAACCGAAGGTTTACATTGACATTATTCATGCTTCATTTTTAAATCTAGGGACATGTCTATTTGAGATATACAATGGAGTATTTTGTTTATAATTTACTGGGATGTCACCATGCAGGTTAAAATCCAGAGAAATCAAATTTTGCTTATAGTCTGGGTGCCCCTCAAGAGGGGACTTGACTGAAATTGCTAAAAGGACTAGCAGACACAGCAATTTGTGGGATCAGCTTCTACTCACCCTGGACTTTAGGATTATCTCTGGAATATTATATCACAGAGAGGGGTAATTTTAGATAATGTTCATCTTTACATGTAGTAAAAAGTGTTTAGAATTAATATTGTATCTCATATCTATTGAGAACTTGCTAATATTGTTCTAAATATTATCTTATATCATTTCCATTTCTCACCAATCTTGAAAGTCAGTGGTATTATTATCTCCCTCTTACAGACAAGAACAATGTGGCAAAGACGACTTATCCTAAATCACAAAGCTGGTAAACGTGGGAGCTTGGATACATAACAGGTGCTCACTGAAGAAAATCTGAGTAAACAAGTTAAGAAATGATGAAAATCAAAGCCATCATCATTTACTTTTAAGCATTTTCTCTACACATTCATAGATAATAATATGTTTGGATCATTACACATTTAAAAAAATTTTTTTAAATAGGCTTTACATTTACAGTTTCATATTCTGTCCTTTAACCGTTAATGCTCTGTTCGCTTTATATTTGGAAATATATCAGGTCCTTCAAAAGCTTATGTGACTATCACTATTAATGGCCTGTGACAATAAGCACTCTCCTAGACTACTTACCTCATCTAACATCAACTGAGTTATTTAAAATCATTGTGTCTCAGTTTCTACATCTGTAATTGCCTAAACACCTTTCCGAAATGTAAGAAAGTTACATTATTACATAAGAATGATAATGAACATGAAGCATAAATAAGAGTACCTGGCAACTAAAAAGAGAAAATTACTTTGTTACATAAGATTTTATTTTGTTTTATTTTATTTATTTATTTATTTATTTATTTTTGAGAGAGAGTCTCGCTTTGTTGCCCAGGCTAGAGTGAGTGCCGTGGCTTCAGTCTAGCTCACAGCAACCTCAAACTCCTGGACTCAAGCAATCCTCCTGCCTCAGCCTCCCGAGTAGCTGGGACTACAGGCATGCATCACCATGCCTGGCTAATTTTTTCTATATATATTAGTTGGCCAATTAACTTCTTTCTATTTATAGTAGAGACGGGTCTTGCTTTTACTCAGGCTGGTTTCGAGCTCCTGACCTCAAGCAATCCGCCCGCCTCGGCCTCCCAGAGTGCTAGGATTACAGGCGTGAGCCACCGCGCCCGGACTGTTACAAAGATTTTAATTATACAATTATTGTAATCATTTTTTTGAAAATGTGTGAAATCAGTTAAACTATAAAGAAGAAAATAACCATCCATGCTAACATGACAAAAAGCTACCTTAAAACTCCAATGTCTTTTTGTTTCTTCATATAGACATTTACATATTTGAGAGTTAATGTATGCTTATTCATACTTTATGTCTTTTTTGATATTTGATTGTAAATATTTTCACTTTTATTAACAAATCTTCAAAAAGATCATTTTTAATGCTTCATATATTATATCATGTGAATGCAACACAAATCATTTGCCTCTTTCCTTTCCTCGTTGATTCTTCACTGTTTTTTCCAGGGATCATATTGAAAAGCTGATATAACTTTTATGTTCCGATATCTGTTTCTCTGGAGACACCTTATTACTAAGGTACACCATTCTTTAGTGCATTACATGAGAAAATCCATGCAAAGAACTTAGCAAAGATATTTTGAGAAGATTAATCCACATTTTCTATGCACTCCTCTTTAAAACGGTTCATCTTCTCTCATTTTTGTTGTGTTTTAATTTGTGCTAATTTCTAATTTGCTTGTATAAAAAATACAGCAGACCAGACATGTTATATTTAACCTTACTAGGACAATGGTTCTCCCACTAAAAAAGTCTGGTCACAAAGAGTATAGATCAGGGTGTGAAACAAAGAAATATGAAACTACCAGAAGCAGGAGAAGAAGGGCTGATGTCTAATTCCATCTCTTATGTCTTCCTAGCATGTGAATTCCTCCTTTTCCCTTCCAACACATCTCAAAATTAAATAATAGATCATGGATCTGTGAAATAGGGCATAGAGAGAATGACTATGTTGATGTTATTTTTGGAATATTTAATTAAGTTAAACAGTACATACAGGAAACTGAACAAAGATATCTACATTCTTCCAGAAGCCTACTGTAAACACTACTATTACACATAGAAAATAAGGAGTTTATATTGTTTTATATTGAAAAGTCAATGGTAATTTATTGGTGTTTTACTGATTTTGTAAAGACACATAATCGCTCAAATCCTGGGCACATGTTTCTACATACAGTAATGATTTTTGTTAGTTAATGTTCCATGATAGTTCTTTTTCCTCTATGGGGATAGGAGCAAGGTATTGCTCCTTTTATCCTCCTGTGATTAAGGATCAATTTAATGTAATACTGAAGAGGAGTCAGATTCCCTGGGTCCCTGGGTGCCTACCACATCCCAGTTGTGTGACTTGGACATCTGCCTGAACCACTTAGTTCATGAGTCATGATGAGAATCACAGAGTAGACCTTACCTTATAGGTAGTGTGGGTTAAAGGAGCTAATAGATGCAAAGAACTAAGAACCTATAGAGAATTTATACACATGTGCACACATACATACACACACACCCAACAATGTTGGCTCTTCTTGTGTTGGCAGATCTTCTTTCTTTTTTGTAGGCAAAATCAAGGGTTGTTTCAATATGGTGGGTTTATCTAATGGCCTCAGTAGTTCAGAGCGCTTTTCTGATGACCTCATGCTCACAGAATCCTCTTCCCGATACCTCCTGGAAGAAGGGCACTTGTCCCATCCCTAATTTATCCCAGCTCTTCTAGCATTCACTTAAAGAATTGTAATCCAGCTGGGGATGGTGGCTCATGCCTATAATCCCAGCACTTTTGGAAACCAAAGTGTGAGGATCACTTGAGATTGGGAGTTCAAAACCAGCCTGGGTGACATAGTGAGACCTTGTCTTTACAGAAAAAACAGTAATAATAATAAATAAGAAAAGTTAGTCAGGTGTGGTGGTGCATGTCTGATGTCCCAGCTACTCGGGAGGATGAGGTGGCAGGTTCACTTGAGCCCAGGAGTTCAAGGCTGCAGTGAGCGATGATCGTACCACTGTACTCCTGCACAACTCCAGCCTGGGTAGGTGACAGAGCAAGACTCTGACTCTAACACACACACACACACACACACACACAGAAAGAAAGAACAACAAAAAAAAAAGAATTGCAATCTTTAAACTCTTTAGTGTGGTCTCACAGACCAGTTCAAGAAGCATGACCCCTTATCATTGGCTGATCCTTCTGCTCCAATTCTCTGAGCTTTAATGTCTTTAGTTGAAAAATGAATCAGTGATAGTTACATTGCGGAGGGTTTGCCCTGTCTTGACTATGCGTGGTAAGGATGCCACTCAATGATTCCCCCGTCAGCCTGCACCTTGCTCGTTACTGGAAGTCTCTGGATGGTGACACGATAGATGGTGCCACAGCCTGTGTCCTCTCAGCCCCCAGACAGGACTGTAACTCATCAGAAAATAATGTCCAATAAAGACTTTCAAGCACAGTCCGTGGGCTCAGCTGGGAGCTAACATGTAAGCGTAACCTGTCATGGCTTCCTGGAAAGCCCAGCAAGAGCCACAGAGGAGGCGAGCCCGAGGCTGGGAGCGCAGCTGGGGAGCTGGTTGTGGTCGCCACTGTTGGGAAGGATGTGGTGGCCACAGGGCGCAGGAGGGGATCTTGTGTGGGCTGCCTCAACAGGTCTAGCACTGTGGCTACCATCCGGCGCAGTAGTAAATGGCCGTATCTTCTTTCTGTACGGAATTGATGGTAAGGACTGAAGTGGAATTTTGAGGATACTTTTTAGCCACAACTTTGTCCTTCCTCCCTTCCGAGGACACTTGAACTGAGGATTTTGTGGAGGTCACTTGAATCAGATGCTTCAAAACCTGATTCGGTTTCTGCTGGTACCAGTGAACGACCTCAGTTTCGAAATGTGTGCTCGATATCTTGCAATGGATGTTGATATTTTTCGTTACTTCTGTGGAAATGGATTTATGGGACTGCTCCACTTCTGATAATCCAAGTCCAACTGGAAGTAAAAGAGGAGAATTCCCAGTGAACATCTGAGAATGTGAGAAGGGAACATTGAGGGATTACTTTGGTCACTCATCTACACTGACAATGGTTGGAGAGTGACTCACGAGCCCAGAGGGAGAAGAAGGTGAATGCTTCCAGGAGTGGCATCCCGTCCACCAGGCTGTGTCCTCAGAGAGAAAGCAGGAAAATGGGGACCTGGTAACTGACTGTACACCTCAGGTCTGGAGCAAGAGAGTGTGGCCTGAACTGAAGAGAAGGAAGGAAGTGGTGGCTTCCTTGGGCCCTTTAGTGCTGGCTACAGACTCAGCACTGCCTACACTAAGTATGTGCAGATATGGCGCTCACCTCAGCAGGGCCCTTTGCATGAATGTGAGTGGGCCATGGAGGTGCCTTCATTTCTACGGAAATAGAAAGGGTTTCCACTTGCCTAGGAGCTATTTTATAAACACTCTTTTTCTCGGCATAATATTTTTAAATATTGCATGTTTAATAAAACATTAACTTTTATAATAGCAAATATTTAATGAGCATTTTCTACTGGTAGGCCTTTTCTTTTTTCCTAAATGCTTATTACTTTTTAATCTTCGTGACAATCACGTCATATGCAGCTTTCACTTTATAGATGAGGGCAACGAGGCACAGAGGAGTCAGGTGGCTCAACGAAGGTCACCCAGCTCATAGGTAGAACGTGCTGGTAAAAGATGTTCATTGAAGAAACTCATGAAAAGAGGGTAAAGATAAAAATAAAAATAGCCATGATCACATTACTAAGACCTGCCATAATTATCATTATGGTAAGCTAACTTTTAGATTCTTCTTTGTAGATACATGACTATTAATGTGATTTTATGGACTGTAACTATTTTTAATGTGTAGAGTTTTGTATTTTTATTCTTTCAGTTCATCTTATATTCTGAGACACTTCCCATGTCACTGAAGCATTCTTAATGTCTGAAACTATTACCTAACACTCCGTCTTTGTTACCTAGGAGCTGCCTGACCCTTTAGAAACTTCTTAATCTCTTTGTGCTCCATATTCCTCATCTTAAAATGGATGCAGTAATAATATGCTGATATCCAAATTTTCTGCAGATGAAAAATTAAACACACCTAATATGTTCCTGACATATATTAATTTTCAGTAATTATTAGGTAATACTATTACTACTGCTACTCCATTTTTGAAATTTAATTTCTTCCTACTTCCAACCATTTAGTTTCACCCCCCACCCTGCCCCAGCTTTCATTGTTAAAATGCTTTGGTGACCATCTTGAAGCAGTAACCTGGTAAAGTCAAGGGAAACCAGTCAAGTATTATTGTGTGTCACTTTCCCACACCAGAGAGCTTCCCTTTCCCTCCGTCTTCTCTTCAGCCAAGCGTCTTCACTTTCATTTTATGATGTCCATTTGTTTTCCCCTGAGATGTCTGGGTGTGTCAAAGCTCTTTTAACCATGGACAGTGGTTGTCTCTGAGACTTATGTCCAGCTCTGTCACATGCCATGTGGGGCAAGTGTGAACTCAGACTGGCTTGGGTCCCCCAGAGGAGAAAGAGGAGAGAGCAGCTGGCTCAGATGGCAGGATTTTCCTCCTTGGGTCGCTGCCTTGTTTTCCTTCTTTTCTAATAAATAACATTTCTGAGGTGCTCAACACTGGGGAGTTGAGTGTCAAGGAGATAGAGGGCAGTAGACTAGAAGGCCAGTGTGTCCTCCCTGCACAGGGGTGAGTCCTGGGAATGGGGAGGAGGAGGAGGGGGCATCAGATACTGTATGTACCCCGAACCAGTCTGTGGGCGTTAGCTTGGCTTGGGGCCCTGGGTTCTGCCACTGCTAAGGCAGCCACAGCCACGCTGGAGCTCACTTGGTCCCCTGTGCCATTGTTGCTGCCAGACAGCTCCTTCCAGACCCCGCAGCTCCAGCAGCCGTGTGTGTGTGTGTGTGGGGGGGTGGCCGTCATGGGGAGTGTGTCTAATTGCTGGAGCCCACACTCTCTACCTGACTACCTGGAAGGAAGGCTGAGGAAATGCATCGGTATTTTTCTTTTTTGTAGAGGGAGATGAATTCATTCTTTCCTCAAGATGTATAAGGTGAGAAATTCCCTAAACACAGGGCAGGGTTGCTAGGAGGCAAAAAGACATATATATGACCACTTCAGAAACATATTTTTTCTTTATTAATTATTTCAAATAAAAGAAGTGAGAAAACCCTGAATTTATCTTTTACTTATTTGTAAACACTGTCAGGTATTTTAGCTTTTATTTTATATACTTCTCCATAACATTAATAGCTCACATTAGTTGAGGATATTGTATGTGGTAGACATTGCTGCAGACACTTTTGTCCATTATCTACAAAGTTCTTAGTATGGTTCCCATTTTTCAGGTGGGAAAATTGAGGCTTTGACAGAGCAGGCCTTTTGTTCTAGAATGTGTTTTGTTCTGATAGGAGTCAGAGGCAGAATGGTAATTTGTATCACAGGATCTGACTCTAGAACCCATGTTCTTAACAAGATACTTTATTTCTTCCATACATATATGGAAGAAATACATATATGTGTGTATATATGTATGTATATATAGGGAATATATATATATTCCCTCCCTTTTAGGCTCTCGGATGCATGTTCCATTTGCAGGGCAAGCGACAGAATCTCTCAATGCTTCCAATATTTTGTTCTCACCTAACTGCCATTGAGCAGCTGTTGTAATTGACCAGACACTTATCAGATGTCCCACAGCCTGACTGGCTTTCGTTGGTACCAGTATAGGACTAAGGTAGCAGATGCAATGTTGAGTACTGTGGGTGAATATCTCATCCTTCTTTTCTACTACGGATGTAGATATTCCTGATGGCGCCATTTTGATCACCCAACTTGGGGGTGGGGAGAGAGGGGAGAGAAATTGGGGGTGGAATGAGAATAACATAGAGTTTTCAATGAGTGCCTGTAATATCAAGAGGAAGCAGTACATTAACTTTTTATAGGTTCTAACATAAGGGAACAAAGGGAAGAACAAACTCACTAGTCCAGAGGAAAGGACAGATGATTGCTTGTACCTGGGCACTAGGTCTACCAGGCTTTGCCCCAAGCACAAGCTGGAGGCCTCAGGTCAGTGTCAGGTGCCTGTGACTGCTGGTGTCAGAAAAGGACACAACTGGGCCAGGCAGGGCCTGCCGTCCCTGCCGTTCCTGAGGTTTCTGAGTTGTCTGGATTATGTCAGGCTGTGACAGCAAACCCTCCAGTTCATTTACAGACAAATAGACAGACAGGCAACAGGGAGATAGAGACAGGGGAAGAGGGCAGAGACAGAGATGGAGGTAAAGCTAGAAATAAGTATACCTAGTGCAGACGGCCACATTGGAACATGTCTGCAAAGCAAGGTTTTTCTTGATGAATTGTCCCAGTCATGTCACACAGGGGACACAAACAAAAGTAGAACTTAACTGCAACTGCTGATAATGAGTACCTTCCGAGTCCTTTCTCTACTCCAGCAGTGACACTCTGCCTTGTGAATTAGCTCACAGCAGTGGCTGCAGGGGCTCTGCCATCTCTGCTCCTTGGAAGACGAAGCTGGATGTGCACATGTCATGGCCTCTAGTCCTGACTGCAGAGTCCATGCCCCCTGCCTGCACCGCGGGTCCCCTATCAGGGGACGTTTTTATTCCCTACATTTTTCACCACCATCAATTTTTCTCAGGGCTCTGGGATTTAAAGTCTGCTTACTGTATTCAAATAATACCATTTTCACTTGTTCTTTGATAACTATTTTTATGTAGACTAATTTTGTCTGGCCTTAGTGTTAGGAAGCTTCATGGATTTAATTTATTTAAAACTCTGTATCTTGGCCGGGCGTGGTGGCTCACGCCTGTAATCCTAGCACTCTGGGAGGCCGAGGTGGGCAGATTGCTCGAGGTCAGGAGTTCGAAACCAGCCTGAGCAAGAGCCAGACTTCGTCTCTACTATAAATAGAAAGAAATTAATTGGCCAACTAATATATATAGAAAAAATTATCCAGGCATGGTGGCACATGCCTGTAGTTCCAGCTACTCGGGAGGCTGAGGCAGGAGGATTGCTTGAGCCCAGAAGTTTGAGGTTGCTGTGAGCTAGACTGACGCCATGGCACTCACTCTAGCCTGGGCGACAAAGTGAGACTCTGTCTCAAAAATAAATAAATAAATAATAAAAAAATAAAACTCTGTATCTTGTCCCAGTGCCTCTATCACTTGTCACCTCCTAAATGGGCCCTTGCAGCACACAAGGCTTCTTTTTACTAAATAACAAAAGAGACACCCCAGACAAACTAGACAAAGGCACCCTTTCTCCAGGCTAACAGAGCCCACTCCAGAGTGCACAGGGATGGGAGTGGGGTGGGATTTTGGTCCACACTCGTGCCCCCTCACCTGGGTGCCACTGCGCAGGCACATGCTGCAATGCCATGGGTAGCAGAGGGGTCATTTTTGTACAGAACAAATACCCCTCATCTCATCCTCGTTTTGATGCTGCTCCAAGGCGCTAAATTTACCCATTTAGTTTCCACCAGATTGGAGCAGTCTCTTTCGGGTTAGCTCATTCTCTTTGTGGTACATTCTTAGGCTTTTCTGCATTTCTCCCTCTTCTTCCTTCTCATCCCCAGGATGGCATCGCTACACGGGGAGGAGCGTGGGCGTTAGTCTTGATAGTCGTCTTCCCGCTACCCTCTGCATCCTCGACAACTTCCAGCTCGTTGTGTTGCTGGACTCAGGGATTCGGACCCTCCCTCTGCATGAGCTGGTGCAACAACCAGACTGAACTCACCACTACTGACCCCACACACGCCCTTGGGATGCAAAGTTCCACCCTGCAGCTTCTCATCCACATCCCAGGCTCTGTGTCCCCTTCATCCCCTCAGCACCTCTGTACCTTCTTAAAGATCCCAAGAGTCGTCTGGATCTCCTACGTGCACAACCTGTGCAGAACAGTAGTGCTGGTTTGGGCCCATCTTTGCAAAGGCCTTCCCCTGTTGATGAAGTTCTCCCCACGGCCATCCTGGGGAAGTTCATCGTCAGCTAGATGCTCTCAGGTTCTCTCTCTGTTTATCTTGGGGTTTTGTTGGAGTTTCTTCCTTTCTGAAATAGGATCCTCAGAGTCAAGGGGACCAGAAAGTACCTTCATTTAATTTTCTGCCCCTCCGAGTTTCCCCGTCTCACAACACTCCCCAGCCAGAAGGCCTGCCCCTTCTCTCTGGGTGGATGCCAACTTCACTGCCATCATACCCCAAGTATTCCATATCCCGCACAGCTAGTGCAATTCTGTGTTCTTTGTTTGCCAGGCTGGCCTTTTGACCTATGAATAGGAGATT